TCCCAGCCCGTCTGCCCCGGGCGCGGCTCCAAGGGCGGCCCTTGACCCCGTGTGTCCGAGCGGTGGGGGGAAGTAACGTCGTTTCGTAGGGCCTTGGAGGGAGAGCGGAGTGTGTGCCTTTTCCTGCCAGCCCTTGATCCGGCAGGAGCGGGGGGGGCTTTTTATTTATTTATTTATTCTTTAGTGGATAGCAGTCTTCTTACAGAAAATGCTAGGAAGCTTATTTCACAGAATCACAGAATAGTTTGGGTTGGAAGGGACCTTAAAGCCCATCTAGTTCCAACCCCCCTGCCATGGGCAGGGACACCTTCCACTAGACCAGGTTGCTCCAAGCCTCATCCAGCCTGGCCTTGGACACTTCCAGGGATGGGGCATCCACAGCTTCTCTGGGCACCCTGTTTCAATTAATGTAGGATACCTGGTTTTTGATTGGAAAGAGGATTCTGGGGCTTGAGTACGGCATTGCTGCGGGGTGGATGTCAGGGGTGCTGGGCTGTGGGTGTGAAATACCCGGGAGTTGTGTGGGATCCTCCACGTCGGTCTGGGGTCAGTAATTTGTGTCAGGGATGCCACGGGTGCAGCTGTGCTAAATTCAGAATGAGAGCAGCTGGGTCTGCATTTGGGCTGCTGCTAAGTGTTGTGAACCTCTGATTTGGGAAAATAAAAATGCTCTCTGGCATATCATCCTTGAAGGGCCTAAATGAGCTAGTGGGTTTTTGTTGCCTCTTATCTCATGTTGTTAGGCAGTTTGTGGGGTTTAAATAGGGAAGAAGAAATTCCACAGGAATGGACATCAGTTTGCAGTTGTTCTTTAAGCCAGGTATGTCCTATCTAGTTACACCTCGATAAGCACATGGCAGCTTTTCAGCCTCCAAAAGGTGAGGATGTTGCCCTTGAATCAAGGGATGCAGTGACATGGGGAGTTTCACTTCTTTCTTTCCTGTCCAATGAGGTAAAATTACACATTTGAAAAAATGGGTAATCTGTTAATGGTTAATACTTTATGTTTGCTCATGAAGTTGTAAGACTAGGGATACATTTAATAAAGATAACTGTTAAAGTCACTGAAAAGTAGCTCTTTCCCGGATAGTAGTTCTGGTTTTTATTTTTTCATTAAAATATTTTTGTCTTAAAAAGTTAATTTTCAAAATGTGTGATCCTTCATGAAACTTCCCTCCAGATGTTAAGTTACACCTGAGGAATTATCTAGCATTTCAAAGAGATTGAAAGGTCAGACAGGTTGTATATCAGGTGAATAGTACTGCTATGCTAAACAGAAATACATGCCCATCTACATACGTACATACAGTTCTAATGGACGCTCATCTAAACTGTCCTTAAAAACACTTGGTGAAGGAGATCCCAGGTATCCTCTAGATAATTTAGTTCAGATACAACTCCTGTATTGTTTGTCTTTTCTTTGACTGAGTCTTTGGAATGATTGCGCAGCTTTTAGGATGCTTCAAGATTTGTGAAAACCCTGAAAATGGATCAACATAGTAAGCGTGTTCGCATTGACACCCTGAGTGTGTCAGCTGCTCAAGTTTAAACTCTTCCAACAGCTTGTGTCTCATGAGCCCACTGCAGAGGAGTGTCTTTGACTTTACTGTGCATTTACTACCTCAGTGGCTTAAATTTGACACGAAGAGCAGTATGTTTAATGTCTATGCTCAGATAACCTGTTTGGGGTGTACTGACTTTATTGCTTGTATTCTGGTTTGCGTGTATGTTAATTTTAAAATACAGCTCTAATTTTTTTGAAAGTAATAAATATTTTCTAATAGTGATACATGATCAGTTCACTCCTGAATTGTAAAGATCTAACATCTGCTATGTGTAACATTATAAGCAAGAATTACAAAAAGCTGCCAAGTTCCAGGACTGAATTTAGTGTGTTTTTTATAAGGAATATAGTAGGTGCTTTCCTGTGCTCTGAATGTTTGCGTTCATTTGCTTTCAATTGTTTCATTAAGGTGCAAAGTGGTGGTACCTTCAAATTCCTGAGAGCACTTCTACTTTTGTTGCAGTTGTCACAAGTGTTTTCTTCTTGAGCATATGGAGCAAACTTCTTGAGAATTTGAAATGTTGTTTTTACAGAGCTTCGAAGAAACACCATTTGCTGTCATAAATTGGAAATGACAATAATCTTATCTTGTTTTCCTGTTTTGATAGGGCCACACGGCCAGTGGTTGCTTTTCCTGCTGGGTTCATCATGATAACTCCAGCTTTTGAACTGACCCAGGATCCGGATTTTCTTACAATAATAATAAAAGTACCCTATGCCAGAGCTTCAGAGTTTGACGTGTATTTTGAAGGGGAAGATTTTAAATTTTATGCTAAACCCTACTTTCTCAGGTAAGTAGTGGAAGGATTTAAAAAACATAGAACTTCATAAACCAAAAAGAAGTCAGTAGAGAATGAACTTAATTTTGGTCCTTTCAGAACATTTCTCACCTGCAGCTTTTGCATTGTAGACTGTGGACAGCCCATTTTGTGCAAAGAATTGTTTTTATGGATCTGGCCTCTTTGTTTCTAGGCATTAAATCATGTTGCAGGGAGTTTAAAGAAATACTTTTCTAAATTTACTTTACAATAGGTTTTCAATTGTAAAATGGCAAGACAATTTTCTATATACATGTAAGCTGTGTAGCACAAGTGTATCTTTTCCCTGTTGAGAGCCAGATATAGTATATTTGGTGAAGAATGGATTTTGATGCACCTCTAATAACATAAGGGGAGAAAAGTCACGTGAGTGTAGGAAGTGAAGTGCCAGGCTGTATTTTTTCTCTAAATAGCAAGTAGCAAGTTCCCTGCAAGTTCCCTGTAGCAAGTTCCCTACTATGCTACAGGAAAGCAACAAGAGGCAATCTTGGTATGAAAGTGTTAACAAGCATGTAAAGGCTGATGAGCTATTAACCTTTCTTATTTTCTGTTTCTTCTGTTCTTGGACATGCTTCCCCTATATACATTGGTAGACTACAAGGGATTTCAGTGGGCTGGTAGAATGCAGCGAATTAGTTATTCTGAGGAAGTCTGGGTGAGTTCTTATATCCTGACAAGGGGAGTTAGCTTAGAGTTTTTAAGCTGCAGAATCTTCCATGTGTTGCACATAGGCCCAGGGGCATCATCTCTGTGGTGGCTGTGATGTCATCCAAGCTGGGAAACGAGTCACAGATTTTCTCTCTCTCAGATACTGTTCTCTTGTACCAATAGTTAGGGGGAAAGATTTTGAAGTACATGGGGATTTAAGTGCATGACTTCCATTAGTATTGACAGGGGTCATGTAGTTAAGTCCTTTGTACTCCTTTGACATGTGCCTTATGTTTTTATAGGCTGAGACGTTCAGTTGCAGAGTTAGTCAGGCATTCAATGTGGAATCTCATCTTCTGCTTGCAGATTGACTCTTCCTGGAAGAATTGTAGAAGATGGCAGAGAAAAAGCATCTTATAATACAGACAAAGGTATTAGTTAATGTGCTTGGTATATGTGTCATTAAAAATGCGAACAACTCTCCAGTAATAGATACTTTGCTGCTCTGGAATTGTATAGATCTTTAGTGAAATATACAATACTGTGAATAAACGTGAAGTTTGTCATATGTAGTAAAAAGTTTTTGCTTGGGTTTTATTGTACTTATTTAGGCCATCCTTAAGCACAAAGGTAATGTTCAGAACTGTCCCAATAATGAAAAAATAATGTACAAGTCCTGTTGAAGCCTTGTTGGGGCTAGACACGTCATTGTACCAGGATCATTACTCTAGTAAGTCTGCAAAGATGTCAGGTAGTGCTGAGTGGAAATGAGATAATCCTGAGGCAGCCTATTGGCTACATCTAAGAGAGAAGACGTTAGCCTTGCTCCACACCTTAAGGTGGAAGGTATTTCTGGAATAAAATATGTACCTTCTGGAATTAATGTATGCATTAAAAAAAACGCAATAAACCTTATAATTTGCTGCTTGCAAAGCCTTTATTATGTGCTTGACTTAAGACAATAATCAGGTTGCTGAATATAGTTTTGAGTGATAGGTGGAAGGATAATAAAGCTTGAGTTCTGTTGGTTTGTGTTTATACAATATAAGTCAAGAGACCACAACTAGTTAAATATTCTTTTGTGCTTTAGCAGTAAAATATTCAATTTTTGTGAAACTGGTAAGGTTAAAAACATGTAGAGAGATCGATGCATAATAAAATGCCACCTGCATGTGTCCTGGTTTCTGTGACCCTTTTTCACTAGAGGAAAAGAGCACATTCTTGTTTGTCTTGGATATTTCAATGCAATAACTATAATCTGTCTTTCCTTTAAGGAACTTTTACAATCTGTTTACCTAAGGAGATCCCTGGCCAATATTTTGAGGGACTGGACATGCTGACATCTCTTTTAGCACCAAAGAAATCAAGATCAGCAAAACCTTTAGTAGAAGAGATAGGTATGGCAAAAAAAATAGTTTTTTGTATTAATGATAAATGTATGTAATGAAATAGTAATAGATCTACATAGTGATATATGTAGAAAAATAGGTTATTTCTATTATTGTCTACTCCAAGCTACAAGAAGGGTGTGAATGAATCTGAAAGTGTGGGTAAGTATAGAAATAAATGTGTTGTAGGTGATACACCTGTCATCTTCACAGGTTTAGTTATGTTTACATTTTTCCAAACTCTGCTTAATGTGTGCTAGTCCTTTGTAGATCTTTGTACCCCTCTAGTGGCTGTACAACACACATATTTGAGCTTCTGCTCCCTATGAGCTCCCAGTTAGCTCAGCTGGATTTTTAGCTCAAATAGCAGAAGCTGATTAAAACCACAGGTTCTAGTGGATGGCTTGCTTAATGTCATTATTTAACAGACAAGAAGATTTGGCTATCTGTGTTTAATTTTTTAATTATCTTAAATAATTGATAACATCAGTTTGCTCCTGTCAGGGTTCTCTTAGCATCAAATTCTGATCTTGTTGAAATCAGTGGAACAATTATTTCAGTGTTTGAGTGAGTATACATAAAAACTGGTTTTCATTTTTGAAAGTTGGAGAATTTGGAGCAGGACCTATGGATTACTGATATAAGCATCTGCCTCTATGACCCAGTGTCATAAGATTTCTTAAAAGATGTAGTGAAATGAGAAAGGCTTATTGCATCATCAATGTTTGCCTTTCTATTAAATCATACATATTTTTAATGTAATACTTCTCTTTCTCTGACTATGCAATCTGTACAGCTGCCTCTGCTGAGTTGTCTGAGGAGGAGGAGGAAGAATTTGACTGGGAAATAGAGCAGACTCCTTACAAAGAAAGTGTAGAAAGCACTCTACCACTCCAGTACCGTTACGGATTTGGGAACTTGCGGTCCGGGGTGTTCCAGCGGCTGCAGGTAGATGCTTTTTTGTCTTTTCCTGTCATGAAAGTTTTGGGTAACTTTCTGCTTGGGTAGGCTTCCTGACTCATTCCATAGTCAGGAGGCAATCACTGGAGGGAACTGTTCTCTCGAATATCCCATTCTGTGACTGAGAATATTCTGCTTTTGCCTGTAGTACAGACAAATTCTTGTTCCCACAGAAGTAGGGGGAGGTTGAGACTGAGTTAATTGTGTAGCAGAGTCAACACCCCCGTCTGTGTCTGCAGTAATTTCAGCGTTAGAGGAAGGGACTGGATGGGCTCCTTGGTAAAAATGTCCTCTTGCAGTGGGTTGCTGCTGCCAGCTCGGTTCAGCTAGCCTGGGAAGGCATGGTGGAAAAGGCCTCTGTGAAGTGGGCCACGTACCAGGTGAATGCTTGTGGCAAGCTGCAAACCATCTACAGGCTGTTGCAAGTTTGCTGTTAACAGTTTTGATGTGTATTTGGTATTGTCTTTATTCTGACTTCAAACATACATAACATCAATGTACAGTATTATTTCAGATGCCATGAATTTTAGTCTACTTCTTAATTTAAAAGAAATTACTCAGTTAAAAAACCACAAACCCAAAAAACCAACCAACCAAAAACCCAAATACAAGATAAAGCTGGCTAATCTATAGGTCCTGTTATGCTGGTTGCATTACATTTTTTTTAATGGTAAAATTCACAGTAATTTTCTCTTTGTACTTTTTATTTTAGACTTGATTTTCTCACAAGACAGTAACTTTTGACGAGTGCACTCTTCAAGGTGTCTGCCCACCTGGTATCTGTGGGATTTACTAGGGTTATGCTGATCCACTGAAACTTGCTTTTGTGGATTAATTGGTAGAAAAGTGTGCTGGGTTCAGCCAGGA